TGCTTCTCCATCTGTGAACTTTGACAGTGTGTGCCTTTCAAAGAATGTTCCCATTGCAACTATGTTTTTCACTAACTAGCATACAATAGTTTACATTATTCCCATATTCTTATTTAATGACTGCAGGAACTGTAATAAGATCCCCTTATTTATTTCTAATTAGATAACATGGAAGTTTTTTCTCCTTTTTCATGATTAATCTAACTTGAGATTTATCAAACCTATTCAAAGAGTCAATTTTTTTGTTTCATTAGAGTTTTTTCCCCTATTGTTTTCCACTTCCTATTTTGACCTCTACTATTACTTTTAGTATTTTCTTCCTCTAACAACTTTGGGTTTGATGTATTCTCTTTTTTTTTTCCTTTTTAGCTTTGACAGTAGAAGCTTAGATAATGTTGGACATTTCTTCTCTTCTAATGTAAGCATAAATTTAGAGCTAAAATGTGTCTCTCAGCATTGCTTTAACTCTGTTTCACAAATTGTGGTATGTTATACTTTTATTATCACTGAGAATAAAGAGGCTTTAATTTTCCTGTGATTTCTCTTTTAACTCTTCGGTCACTTACAATGGTGATACTTAATTTCTGAGTATATAGAGATTTTCCATATATGTTTTTGTTATGTATATTTAACATGATTATATTGTGGCCAGAAAATACACTTTTTTGATTTCAAACCTATAAAATTTATTGAGACCTTTTTTATTTTGTAGTGTATAGCCCATCTCAACAAATACTCTATACAGTGTTCTATAAATGTAATTTAGGTCAAGTTAGCTGTTAGCATTCTTCTAATTTTTTGTTCAATACAGCCTTTTTCTCACTATTTGTTCTATCAGTAACTAGGTGAGAAATGTTAAAATCTCAAATTATCGTTATGTATGTTTCTACCCTCCTTCATTTTTTTAGTTTTTTATTCATGTTGTTTAAAACTCTGTTGAGTGCTTAAACACCAACGATTATTATATTATCTTGATGACTTGATCATTATGATATGTCTTTCTTAATCCCTGGCAATATTTCATATTTTGAAAACTACTGTGTCTATTGTTAACATAACCATTCCATCTTTCTTAAAATAAGCATTTACATGATGTATCTCTTTCAATTATTTGACTTTTAACCTGTCTACATTTTTATGTTTGAAGTACATTTTTGTAGCAATCAAAAGTATGTTTTGTTTTTTAAATATAATTTGAATATCTCTGCATTTTAATTGAAGTACTTAGTCCATTTACATTTAATGTAATCACTGACATATTTGGATTTAAGTGTACCATATTGATAATTTTTTTTCAGTTCATTCCATTTATTTGTTTCTCCTTCTTTGCCTTTTTCAACAAATCGATCATTTTTAGTATTTTATTTTATCTTCTCTGTTGACTTTTTAGCTATACCTCTTTGTATTATTTTTAGTGACTGATCTAGAGATTAAAGTATGCATGTTTAACTTATCATAGCCAACTACCTCATGATCAAAGGAAGAAACTTACAAGAGAATAATTATATTTACCCCATCCCGAGGTGTGTGCTGCTCTTTTTATATATTTTCTAAATATGTAATAAACATTACAGTACACTGTCATTATCTTGTATTTAAAGAGTTAATAGTCTTTTAGCAGAATTCGAATTTGTATTCTGTCATTCTTGTTGCGGTTGCTCTGTATGTGAGAGGTCTTGTTTCTCTGGCTACTTTGAAAATACTTTCCCTGTCTTTCGTTTTCAGGAGTTTGGCTGTGCTGATTTGTACCGTCTTCTTCAGGTTTATTCTGTGTAAGTTTGATTGAGATACTTGGGTCAGTGATTTGATGTGTCTTAAAAAATTGAAAACTTTAAAACTATTATTTAAAGTACATTTTCTACCTTAACAGTTTTTCCATTTTTTTCTCGAATTCCAATTATACATAAATTAGACTGCTTTGTATTGTCCAACAGATCATTGAGTCTCTGTCACCTTTTTCACCGTTTCTATTTCTCCCTGTGCTTAGTTTTGATTGTTTCTACTGATCTGCCTTCAAATTTACTGATATGTTTTGTGAAATGACATATCTAATGTGAAACCCATCCAGTAAATTTTTTCATTTCAAATGTTATGTTTTTGAGCTTGAGAATTTTTATTTTATTTATACAGTTTCCATTTCTCTACCAAGATTCCCCATCTATTTACTTATTATGTCCCCTTTATTTTTGAATTCTTAAAAATATTTCTAACATCTATTTAACATCCTTATCTGCTAATTTCAGCATCATTAGATCTTTTTACTTTGACTCTATTTTTTTCTGAGGATAGGTCATATTCTCCTTGCTTCTCACATCTAGCAATGTCATTACTATTAGTAGATCATTATTTGCTGGACTTTGTGGATACCATGTTGTTGAGAATATGGATTTTGTGGTGTTCTTGAGTTTTCTTCTAGCAGGTAGCTTATTACTGACCAAGGGTAGTTTATTACCAACCAATTTCTAGTTGAAGTGATCAACTAGATCATTTCAAACTTGTTTTAAGTCTCTGTTAGCACATGTTCATGGCAGTTCTTAATCTAGGACTAGAGTATTCCTAGTCCTTAAACATCACCTTTTTACCATCCCAGCTGAATCCTAGCTCTTCAGTGATCTATAATTCTGCCTGATCAGAATGCCAGACTTTCAGCATTGTGCCATCACTTGAATTTTCATTTAGCTCACAGGTCCCCAGCCACTGCTCTCAGTGAGATCTGAGTCTCCCCTTCTCATGTGGGGCTGAGTCTCAACCAAATCCAGTGGCCCCACCAGATCTCTGAAGCAGCTGCCTTCTGCCCTCAAATTCTACTTTCCTCAGGAGCACAAGCTTTGGCTTTCACCTTCTCAGCTTACAGTGGTGCTTGTTCTTCTTCAGGTCCACTTTTCCACTGCTGAAAAGAGCTTCCAGGTGGGAGGCTTGTGGAGCTGTGGGGTGCACTCACATGCTTTCCTTTTCTCAGCAACAATGGTCACGACTGCCTGGCATCCAAACTCTGAAACCGGTTGTTTCATAGACTTTGTCCAGTTTTGCTGTTGTTTACAATGAGACAGCTGGTGAGCTGCAGCTCCCTCATCCTAGCCAGGGGCTTGTGCATTCATGGCCAGTGAGCCTTCCTTCCTGCTCTTTCTAGGACTGTGATGTGGGCTCAAGATCACTTCACACACTCATGTCTTCCCCAGGCTCACTTTGGAGGAGACTATAATGCACTTACCATTTTCCTTCTTGGTTTCAATAGATCAGAAAGAATTTGGTAAGACAGAACTGAAATCTCATTGTGCCTCACTCAGCTAATGTTGTTGAGTCATGGTCCTTGGACCAGGAAAGGTAGAGAACTGGCTCTCCCTCTTCACGATGAGGGAATGTTCCTCTGCACCGTCTGGTCCTGGGGTTTTCAGCCAATCCCGATAACTTGTTTATGAATACATTGTATGTGATTACTTCTGCAGAGAGGAGAGTACATCTGATTTTTCTACAAAATATTAACCAGACCCTAAATTTAAATGCTTTTCATATTTGAATTAAAAACTATTTATTGCACTATTCTTTCTTTTGTGGCCCTAGAAACAAAGATGCTATTCTGATTTTAAAGATATGACAAATGAAACATAGAAGGTTAAATAAAATTTAACAAAGGCAAGGCAAGGAAGAAAAATCCAGAAAATTCAGCAGACACTACAAGGATAAACTTTACTCAGGCAGGAAAAGATAGGAAGATGAAGATCTCCTCAAGTAGCCTTTGCTCAGTGCGGAAGGCAACTGCAGGCTGGAAGCCTGGGACGTGCTGAGGACCTTATAGATAGTCCTGGGCACATCCACTAACTTCTCAATGTCTCAGATTCTTTACCTGGAATAAATACGTCAAGAAAGCTAAGATGTGTCCCAGTGATTATGCAGTGTGACTAATGACGAAGTAACCACGTATCCTCAATATGTGCAGTTATTTTGATTTTGCAAAGTACACTAACACCTAATACTTCAACCACATGTTCTTAAAACCTGATAATTCATATCAAGCATTCTGGGGAAGGCCATGAATTCAGGGGACTCATGATATTGAATAAAAAACTGCTGGTATAGCCACAAGTGCCTTTCAGGGAAAATAAGCCATCGCTTTTTTTTTAATCTCACTCAAGGATAATCCTCACCCCAAGATGTTAACACGAAACAATAAGTAGACTATTAACTCAGGACATTTTATTTCTAAACAAGATGATTAGGACATCTGAAAATACCTACAAATTATTCCAGTGAGTGTCTCTTTCCCTCAGCTCTGACAGTGTAGTAGTTCTCCCAAACTGTTATTATATGAAAAACCGGTGACAACCACAGAGCCTCAGTGTTGCAGAGGCCAACTGCAATTCACAGCTGCACGTGGTTCCAGGCAAGGGCTTCTGTGCCCTCCAGATGCTCACCCAGATGCCCCCTAAAATACATAAAACTGCTTCAAATAAATGCTGTTTATTCCACAGTGAGTAACAAGATTTATAAAGCAAGTGTCCTGGAACTTTCAAGCCATGCATCAAAAATAGCCATCGACCTTTTCTGAAAATGACTCTTGACTCTTAGACCAGGGCTGGCCCCGGGTCACTGCATCCTCCGGGTCAGCTTCCAGCTGGTCCATATTCGATAATGGGAGCTCAAGCTCAAGAACCCAGGATGTGAGCAGCTGAGGCGTGGAGACTGCCCAGCCGACCCCTGACGTTTTTAGAGGAACAGCCAACCAGCCCAGCCCGCTCTTCTAGGCGTTACCCAGAGGGTGGGGAGGCAGCGGCAGCGTGGGGCGCCCTGCGATGCAGCTTCTCCGGTACACCCAAAAGGTCCAGAATGGAGGAAAAAAAAAAAAAAAAAAAAAGTATAGCTTCCTTTTTTCATCAGAAGCTTGAGTAAAACCAGATTTTCAAAAGATGACAATGAAAAACATGCAAAAAATCGAATTATCTGAATATCAGAGTTCCACTCATATTGAACTAATAGAATATAGATCAGATCCCAAAGGGACAATGGGTTCGGAGGAAACCGCAAAGAGAGGCCCTGAAGCCAAAGAACTTCTGTCGTACTTTTTCTGTATTAAAAATGGAATTCTTCACGTCCTTTTCCAAGAACATTCTAAAGACGCGGTCTGCCCTTTCTTAGAAATAATCGCTTCTCTCCCAGAGCTTACGTGCCTTCACGGTGATTGCAGAGCATAGCTGGAATTTCAGGTGTACTTGTTAGCAATAGATAAGTGTTAGCAATACTGCTGGCTTTCTGTTTCCTTTGCTTTAGTTCGGTTGCTCAAGCTGTCCCATGAAATCTAAAGTCCGCTGCACTAGCGGAAAGAAAAGTTGGTTAAGCACAACTGGGAGTGTCAGAGAAAATACAGGACGCCCAGTTACATTTGATTTTGTTTTGCCGTTGTTTTTTATGTATTTATTTTAATTTTAAAATGTTTAATTGACAAATAAAAGTTGAATATATTCAAGGTGTACAATGTGATGATTTGATATATATGTTGTGTAATGATGATCACCACAAATTAATTAACACATCTGTCACCAGCCATAGTTACCATTGTGGGGGATGAGGATGCTTAAAATCTGCTCTCTTATCCCATGTCAGGTGGACAATACGTGTTATTAGCCAGAGTCCCCATGCGGCACATTAAGACTCCAAAACTCATTCATCCTAGGAAGTTTGTACCTTAGACCAACATCTCCTCACTCTCTCCCTTCTCCCCTCACCCCATGGACCCTGGCAGCCACCATGCTACTCTGCTTCTATGAATTCAACTTTTTTTAGATTCCGCGTATGAGAGCGATCATGCACTAGTATTTGTCTCTCTATGCCTGGCTTATTTCCCTTAGGACGAGGTCCTCCAGTTTCATGCACGCTCGTTGCAAATGGCAGGATTTCCCTTTTTTTAAGGCTGCCTAATCTTCTGTTGCTTGGCTGTACCGCATTTCACTCATCCACTCATCCACTGAGGATGCTTGAGCTGCTTCCACCTCTAGGCTCTGGTGCACGATGCTGCCGTGGATATGAGGGTGCAGTTATCTCTCTGAGTTTCAATTATTTGGGCATTGACCTGCCTGTTACCCCGTTTCACATCCCCAGAGGGCTCTCATTTCTCCGTGTCCTCACCAACACATTATTTTCTGATTTTGCTTTGTTTTTCTGATAGCCATCCTAATGGGTGTGAGATGATATTTCATTGTGGTTTGGATTTGCATTTCCCTAATGATTAGTGATGTTGATTACATTTCCATGTGCTTATTGACATTAGTACATCTTCCTTGGAGAAATGTCTATTGAAGTCCTTTGCCTTCCACTGAATTTCAGATAAATCATGAATAAGGTTTTTAAGTATATATATGTGTGTGTGTATATACATATATATATATGTACACAGATATATATTTATGTGTGTGTCCCACACAATATTAGAAATGCCTATATACCAAAAAATTATCTGTTTATGTAAAACTCAATTTTAACTGGATATCCTGAATTTTTATTTGATGAATCTAGCAACATCAGAAAGTAAAAACTTTGATAGATCTAAAACAATCCTTAAATATCTTACGATTTTGCTAAAGTAAAGTCTGGAATAGTTTAGTGCGCTTGTGTGAGTGTTTGGCTGGTAGCCTTACTTTATTAAAAATGTAATTTCATCTTGAGATCCTCCAGACTAAATCATTTGAGCTTCACACTCTTAGTGTAACATTATTGGACTCCCTTAATGAAATTATAACTCAAGCAAGATATTTCATTCTCTTGTAGTAAATTAGTTTGGGCTGCGAGGGTTTAGAAGAGCAAACCCTTCCCTGGTTTATTCTTGTTTGGTAGAACAAAGAAGGCACAGGCATTTTATATTTGAGTTATTTATTGTTCTCTCTGTTGCCCGTCCCTACTGGAAACAACAGCTGTTAACGGGCTCCCGAATGAATTTCAGTGTGAACTCTCCTGGCCTCTGAAAACCTTGGCTAAGGAGAAAACAGGCTCAGCTTCAAAAGAAAAAGAGCCAGTTTCAGGCTGGGTCTGGATGCCTGAAGGCCAAGGGCAGATGAAACCAGCAGCTCATGTTTTCTTGAGAAATTACACTTCAGGGAGATATACAGTGCCATGGTGGGGCACCTGTGGACAGCTGTCCTCATTACAGGGTGATGTAAACTCAGTGACCTCCTGGGAAATCCTGCCTGTGGGTGTCCACAGCTTCCGAAGGAGAGGGAAGGATCCCACGTAGCAAAGTAGCCGATCCCACAGCCAGTGCCCTGGAACTTGGACAGCAGGGACGCTAGGACACGCTTCTGTCGTACTCTGCACCGTGTTGCATGAGCAACGCTGAGATTTCCACCTGGGGCCTCTTAATCAATGAGGTCCAGGTTCATAATGGCACATGCGAACCGTGTAGACTGGAGGACGTCTGGGAGCCAGGGGCTCCCTGTGCTGTGTCTCTGTTGGTGTCTCCTCTGCAGTGCAGTGAGTTCTACGTGTGGACCAATACTCCCCAGTGCGGTGGTTTAATTTAGGTGGTGGAAATCTCCAAAATAAGGAGCTTTTCTTTCGGATCCCTTCATTAGTCATTTTTATTTCTCTCAATCATACCTCGAACCCACCATTCCTTAATCTCGCTATTGATGAAATAAATTGCTGAGACCATGGGAGTAAAACAGCATACTTTATTGGTGAGGAGTGGCATTTCCTGGTTGGATCTGTTTCCACAATCGTGCTGCACTCTGAGTGGTGGGGACCCAGGAGGCAAGACCTGCTTGGCCTTTGCTCACCCGGCCACAGGCTTCAGGCAGAGGCAGTCCCTGGAATTCCAGCCACCGTATTGAGGACGCTTGGCCATTTCTGGGAGGACTGCGTGCTCTGCCCACACCACTAGCTCCCTCCTCCCCTCCTCTACTTCTGCCAAACGCCCGCTAAGTGACAGGTCCTTTATTTTTAATGCATGTCAAGCCCAGAAAGCAAATTCTGCACTAATAGGGAAAGATAATCTTGGCTTTATTTGCACCATTCTCTTTTAATTGTGAGATCGTTTTACTTGTTTTAGCCCATCTCTGTGAAATGATCTCGACGGAAGGCTCTGCCCTACCCGGGATCTTGTAAACAGATGCAAGGTTGCCACCCTGGAGACAGCTGCTTAAAGTTTTAAGGGACTTGGGCAAGGTGAAGGGAGATGCCAAAATAAGAGAAGGAGAAAGAAGGAAATCGTAGAATTTTAAATTGAGTGGAGAAAGGAATTTGATAAAATGCTGTCAGATATTCAATAAAAGACTGAACCAGAATGAAATGGCTGAAACCAAAGTGACCTTTCCACGTCCCTTGTCCAACCTTCAGTAATAAGAACTTCTAAAAGCATTGCGTTTTTCTGAAACTCCATGTCAAAAGTGCATTTCCTGTTCTTTTCTTTCCAGATAAAGTAAGCATATTGTCAACCTTCCTCGCTCCCTTCAAGCACCTGAGTCCTGGCACCACAAACACGGAGGATGAAGACACCCTAAGTAAGCAGCTTCCTTTCCCCAAAGTGCACAAAGGCCCCTGTATTCTGTGTGCAGGGGTCCCCCGCAGTCCCCAAAACCTGAAATACCTGGGGTCATCTGGGAGGGTCTGTTTGTCTTACCTGGAGAGACAGTGTCTGCTCTCAGTCCCCTACAGAATCCCCATCTTCCCTGCAGTCCCACCTGCATCTGCAATCCTATCCTCACTTGGAATCCTTTTCATTTGAGGGTCTCACCAGACTCCTATCTCCATCTACAATCCTGTCTTCATCTGAAGTCCTATCCTTACCTGGAGTCCTACTGTAACCTGCAGTCCCACCCTCACCTGCAGTCTCATCTTCACCTGCAGTCCCACCCTCACCTGGAATCTTACCCGCACCTGCAGTCCCATCCTCACCTGTGATCCCATCCTCACTTTCAGTGTCATCCTCACCTAGAATCCTATCCTCACCTGCAGTCCTACCCTCACCTGGAATCTTACCCACACCTGCAGTCCCATCCTCACCTGTGATCCCATCCTCACTTTCAGTGTCATCCTCACCTGGAATCCTATCCTCACCTGCAGTCCCATCCTCACCTGGAATCTTACCCACACCTGCAGTCCCACCCTCACCTGCAGTCCCATCTTCACCTGTGGCCCCATCCTCACTTTCAGTGTCATCCTCACTTTCAGTGTCATCCTCACCTGAAATCCTATCCTATCCTCACCTGTGCTCCCACCCTCACCTGGAAACTTAGTCTCACCGGCAGTCCCATCCTCACCTGCAGTCTCATCCTCACCTGTGGCATTTCCTGGTTGGATCTGTTTCCAACCTGGTTGATCCCATTCTCATCTTCAGTTCCATCATTAATTGGAATCTTAGGCTTCCCTGGAGTCTCATCCTCACCAGGAATCCCTTCCTTACCAAAAGGGCAGGAAAGTGTCAGTAATGTCTGTGGGACTGAGAACCCCAGGGATTCCAAGAAATTAACCAGTTTTCTTGGACTATTCTCTCCTCTCCTTCCTTTGTTTTTTCATCAAACCAGAAAGAGCAATGGTCATGGTGTCTTAGAGCACGGTTTGTACACGTATTTAACAAGGAAAGGGCTGGATAGGAGCCCCTCCTGTGCAAACATTTCTGGCACATGAAATTGGGAAGGGGCCAAGGAGACTCCTCAGGATGGCACCAGGCTGGTTTAGGAAAGGGATCTGAGCAGCGTCTCGGGAGCTCACTGTGGGGGTGAGGATCCGGGAGTGTGTGGCTGCAGGAGCTGGCCTCTATGTTCACAGCAAATTGTCAGGCATTTAACAAAGAGGACAAGACATTCCACACCATGTGAACAGCTCCTCAAATTTTAACACCACCTGGCAGATGGCTCCTTTTTCAACCAGGAAGAGGTCAGCACACTCCTGTTGTCATGGGACGGGGAGGAGGTGAGGTGACCCTGGGATTGCTGGTCAGACCAACAAGAGGCAGTGGGAAGGGTCTGCAAGGGATGCCGTGCACTTTGCCATCAGCCTGGGAAACACAGCCCTTCCCAGACAGCATAATAATTAACCGTACTGGAAATGGAGGTTTTTCAGCAAAAGCAGCATCAGAGTCTTTTAGTGTCAGGACCAGAGCGAAGGTCAATGCCCTCTCTTGGACCCCTTCTCTTCTAGATGTGGAAGGAGCAGGTTAGGAGGAGAGTGTGCTGGCACTAGAGAGGGCTCGGCCCAGACTCCGTGCTCCCTCCCCAGCACAGCTTGAGACTCAAGCCAAGCTTTGACACAGGTCGCTTCTGTTCTCTGGTGACCCAAACTGGAAAATTTCCAGATGAGTCCATTTATTGATCACTACTTCTGAAATCTGGGATAGAGAAAGTAAAAAACACACACCAGGCATGTGCATGTGTGCATACACACACCCCCCAGGGGTGCACACAAACACACACACTCCAAGAGCACACGAGCACACAGCCCCCAGGAGCACACACTCCCCACCCAAGCTGAGCCTGACATGTGGACCTGGAAACACCTGGGAAGGGGAAGTTCACTGTTTCCTCCTCCTCCACACCTGGAGCTGCTGGGATCCTGGCTGGAGCTGGCCTCCCTCAGGAGAAAAAGAAATGAAGCTTCAGCAAGGGCCAGAGGACATCTGGGGTGCAGAGCGAATGGTTTCTAACTTACAGAGGTGCAGCAACCGCCTTTCTGTAGCAACCAGAGGCCCAGATCTGGAGAAATGAACCGCCTGGCTGCATGGGAAAATTGTTGCTCTGCCCCTGAGATTCCTGAGAGAGGGACGTCCCCACCCCACGTAGGAGCTTCTCCTTCCCCCTGCCCCCCGGTAAGAACCCCCACAGCGGGCAATGAGAAGAGGAGACGGCCTGACGAGGCCAAGACTTTCTGGACTTTCCGGAAGCCTTTCATGCTCTGTCCTGGCAGCCAAGCTGCCTTGGGCTATAAACATTACCTCTCAGAGCCTCCACGCTAATGGGTAGAAACTTAGAGGTAACAATAACTTTAAATTATTTATGGTAGTTAAAATGCTCTTGAAATGCTTGAGAAGTCTCATTTTCAATCAATCAACTAGTTGCTCCCCTTTGTGTAGATGCTGTTTATTTACTTTCTTTTCATAGATTGTTCAAAGACAAACCTACAAATGAATCAGCTCTCCCTTCATAGCTCCCTGCGGCACCGCCAGCTCGGCCTTTGCTCGGCCTTATCCATTTGTAATCCAGATGCACGGGAAGGTAGAAAAAGATGTGTGTGTGTGTATGTGTGTGTGTGTGTTGTGATGTGTGTTCATGCATGTGGCATGTGTGGTGTGTGGGGAAGTGCACATGTGTGTGGGGTGAGTTCACGTGCATATGTGTCATGTGTGTATGTGTGCATGTGTGTGCACAGGTGTGTGTGTACGCATGTGTGTGGTGTGTGAGTCTGTGCACGTGTGTGCATGTGTGTTGTGTGTGTGTGCATGTGGCATGTGTGCCGAGTGTTGTATGTGCACATGTGTGTGATGTGAGTCTGTGCATGTGTGTGGTGTATGCACATGTGTATGCATGTGTGTGGTGTGTGAGTCTGTGCAGTGTGTGCATGTGTGTGGTGTGTGAGTCTGTGTACGTGTGTGCATGTGTGTGGTGTGTGCACGTGTGTGTGCGCATGTGTGTGGCATGTGTGTGCATGTGTGTGGTGTGTGTA